AACACGATAATATCTAAAATAAAGATACAAAAAATCAATATCACAAACAGCAACAACCTCCTCCCAAACAACCCGCTCCTAAACAATACCCCATTGATTTGGACTTACTAGTCTTTTGTTACCTAAGGAGGACTCCAGGCGTCTTACATTTAAAAATATAAGGGAAAGAAAATCGAAAGAGATGAATGTCATAAACAGATTAACATTTTTGTGATTCCAAACAGCCACTCCCAACAGAACTGAAACCCACCTAAAAAATACTAATATTATTACATTTATATTCCACTTTCCCTCTAAGGTGCTCAAAGTGGCATACAAAAATCTCCCCATCTCATCCTCACAACCCTGTGAGGAAATTAGGCTGAGAGGCAGTGACTCTTCCAAGGGCCCCCAGTGGGATTCCTGGCCAAGGAGGGATTTGAACCAGGGTCTCCCAAGTCCCAGTCCAGCACTCTGACCATGACGCCACACTGACTCTCACGGACACCATCTGGAAGGGCAGTCAGAAAGAGCTTTCAGAGTAGCAGAAGCAAAGATCAAAGGCTGCTGTGGGTCCCACTAGAGGTCAAGTGGTAGAAAAGCAACTCATTTGAAAAGTATTTATTGTGAGTATTTAAAAAAAACTTTTTAAAGTGCCTCAACATTGCTATAGCTGTCAAGTCACCAAAGGAGGAAAAGGCAGCATTTATACAATGCAAAGCCTTTCAATGTAAGACAAGAACTCTTTCAGCCCATGCAGCACGTGAGTTGTCCAAGGAGGAGAGACACTGCTGAAGGACAATGAACACATTTATTTTAACGGAAATTTCTATCCCACTTTTCACTGCAGCAGCAGAGATGCTCAAACAGTTCACCGTGTGCAGCAGATATGATCAAAAGGAAAAAAAAGAGCAATAATCCCCATCAGTTTAAATAATGAAATAATAACAATTGACCAGACTTTTAAAAAAGCATTAAACAAACTCAGGAGAGGGAAAGTAAGAAACAGTAACGTAAAACAGCAATGGAGTTAAAAGCTTTGCTGGAATCAAATAAGAGGGAGCTCATCTTGTGCTGCGCTTTCCAGGCACAGGGCTCCTTTAAGCTCCGAGTCCAAATGATGTTTTTATCCCCCCCCCCAAGAAAACTCATGTTTTACCGCTGAATCAGAGCAAATGTCAATCCATAGAAAACCCAATGGCGATTGTCTCCAATTCAGCAGTAAGACATAGGTCTTCCTGGAGAAAGTGCCAGGATACACATCCACACACACAACCAAAACCACAAACCTTTTCGGACATGGAACTTTAAAGCCCTGACCTAGAAATGTGACACAAAAGGCAGTCTGGGTAAGTCCGGAGTCTGGGAAGCATGTGTGTGTGACAGAGAGAGATACTGTGACAGTCCCTTCCAACCCACGCCCCATTGGTGGGACCCCTGGCATAGCATTGGGCTCAAAGCTTCACCTGCTCTTGCTCTACCACAGCAGGTGATGCCCCAAATGAGCCTGGTGGGACAGCTGCTAATTCAGGGGTGGCTTGTTCTGGCCTTTGCGTGAATTTGGAATGCAATCCTTGCTTTGCCACAGACTTGGCTCTGGACCTTGGGCATCGTTAAACTTGGATGTGTTTTTTCTATAGGCTGTGTCATGCTAGAATTTGGGACAAAATATAATTCCGCTATTACTTTTTTCCTTTTTCGTTTTGCTGGTTGTTATCCAGGGTTGGCTACGAATAACACCCAGAATTTATAGCTCCATTTCAAACTGGTGTTTGTGTGTTTCATTAGGAAACTTGAAAGGAGGAATGGGTAGCACTGGAGCCACATGGACGCAAGCTTCTGGTGTGCCAAGACGGTGCCATTTGGTTATGGAGGTCTGTGGCACTGCACTTCTAAGTAAAAAGTTGTGAATGTCATAGGTGTCCCCCCCCCAACCTGCCTCTCTCCTGCATTGTGACCACATCATCTGTGCCATACTGGCTGCATCCATTTGACCCAGTTCCATGGCAGAAGTTCAGCTTCCTCAAGGCAGCTCTGGTCTGACTCACTTTAACACCCACCCACGGTTGAAAGAGGCCAGCAAAGAGCCTTGGAAACATGGGGAAGGCAGACTCTCTCTTCTCCGGGCAGTGTCTGGTCAACAGTGTTCTGCCCAGAGAGGAAAAACAGAAGGAGAGAACAGAATTCTTTGCTTTCCCAGTGAGGTATTGTAGTAGTATCTAAAGCAAAAACCCCTCCGTATTATGTGGCCATCGCTTCGCTATATGGGACATTTCCACATGGTCCATAGCTAAACTATGGAATTTGCTGTGATGGCCACCGACTTGGATGGTTTGAAAAGAGAAGAAGGCAATTTCATGCTGGATCATTCTATCAATGGCCTCTAGTCACAATGGCTTTGTTCTACCTCCACCATCAGAAGTGGTGGAGAATTCTCTTGCCCTCATATCTTGCATAAGGGCTTCCCATCTGGTTGGCCGCGGTGAGAACAAGTTGCTGATCCAGCAGGGCTCCTCTTATATTCTTGCTATTTAGCTATCTGTTACTTATGGCTGAATGCTGCAGTGGCTTACAAGCATCTCAGCTAAGGTTTATCAAGCAGCATTATCTGGGCCTCTGAGGAGCACTGAATGGTCCCTCTATTGACAGATCAGAAGAAAAAGAGGCTTTGTGGAGACGAGAGTCAGTGCTGAGGCAACAGGGCTTGGTCTTTGGGACAGCTGGAGTGCACAGGCCTAGCACCTTCTGGACTGTCAGCTGAATCTCCCTTCAGCATTATAAGGGGTATAGTGTAAGTGTTGGGCTAGGGGCACTCCAGCCCTCCCAAGGAGCAAACCGATGCCTTCAAATCAGAACCTGTTGGATAGTTCCACGCTGTGGCTTGCTGGCCTCTGGTTGCATCTGCATCATACATTTAAAACAACTTTCTCCCTCCCCCACCCAAAAATTCATGGGAACTATAGTTTGTTACGGGTGCTGGGAGTTGTAGCTCTGTGAGGAGACAACTACAGCTCCCACAATTCTTTGTGCTTTATATGTATGGTGTGCTTGGTAGCCTCTGCCCCTTCTGAGTGCCTCTGCCAGACTCTTTCCCATCCCTGGCTTCAAGGGGTGACCTGGGCTCCTCTGTTTCTCTGCCAGGCCCAGCTGTCCCTCCTTCCCGGTCCATCCTTTTCCATTACCTCCGCGCAAAGGGAAGGAGCTATTGTGTGGCAGGAAACAGCAGCTCCCTGCCTGCCCGCCTGATCTCGCAGCCCAGCCTTGGCTCCTGCCTCATTGTTTCCAGCTCCACATCCTCCTCTTTCACACACTCCCAAGGGCTGAGCTGCTTTGGGAAGCTGGATAAAGCAGATCCACCACAGCCACGGATGCCGTGAGTCGGGGCAGACCCCGTCCCTCTCATGTGGATTTGTTCTCAGCAATGCCGACCTGACAGTGTTTCCAAGGCAATTGTGGGATTAATGTGCCGTCACCATCATCTGTAACCATGAAGCCCCGAAACACCATGGACACTCTTCTGAGAGTGCTGGGAAGAAGAGAGAGCACCCGAGTACCAAGTGGCCGCCGGGTAGGTGTACAACAGAGACGGAGGGTAGGCACTGCAAGGGGAAAAGGCGAGGCAGGGTTTTCTTGCAAGCTGTCCAAAGTCTCTGAGGTCACTTCCAGATGGCCCATTTATTGAGTATTCATCCCGATCTGTTTGCACAAGTTTGCGGGGACTTAGGCTGTGGATACACCATACGTTTAAAGCTCATGGCTTCTCCCAATGAATCTTGGGAACTGTAGTTTGTTAAAGGTGCTGAGTATTGTAGCTCTGTGAGTCTTTGAGGAAACGTGTTTTCAGGATTCTTTTGGGGAAGTCATGTGCTTTCAGGGTGCTTTAAATGTATGGTGCATACGCTGCCTTGGATTATTTATTGAGCATTCATTATGTTTTTGTTTCCGGAGAGGTTATATGATGTCGCATCAAGCAATTATTACCACACATTTTTCAGCGTGTTTCCCTATTGCTTTCCTTATTGCAAAAGGTCAGGGTGGGGGGCAGGGTTGTTGCACAAGCATGCCAAATTGGTTTTAATTGCACAACCTGAATTTGCTGGCATGCCATTGAATTCTACCCCCCAAATAGCGACAGTCTGGAAGCCCCTGTTGTGCATCTGATGAAATAGGCTGCAGCCTGTGAAAGTTAGGGCCAGTTAGGGCCAAACAACACATTTTAATAAACTTTTTAAAAAGCATACTTCTTGAAGAAAAAACAGCTTCAGGGTCCCGAGGGGCAAGGTTCACCTTTGTGGTGGGCACCTGCCCTGCATGCAGAGGCCCAAGGCTCAATCCCCAGCATATCCAGGTGAGACTAGGAGTGTTCCCAGTCTGAAACAGTGTAGACAGTGCTGGATGACCTCTGGTCTGACAGTAAAAACCTCCTTCCTCTGTTCCCCGCTCCAGAAGGTGCTCCTGATCTGAGTTGGGGCCCGACACTGGTTTCCTACAAACACTCCCTACCCCAACGTCTGCTTGCCCCCATGCGGTTTGCTGCAAAAGAATTTCTGTCTCTCTCTTTAGAAAACTATGAAAAGAATCTGTTTTCCTTGTTTTTTCTTCTTCTTCAGCTGACTTAACGTGACTACTCTTCTGGAGTATGAAGGAAATCTTTTCCCCTTCTTAAAAATTAAGGGCAATTGACTTTAGTTTAATTTTTTGTTCTCCTTGGTACTGCAAGGGACCTAATGAAACTAAATTACTGGGGGCTGAGAGGTTTGTCTGATGGATGGTGCTCAGAAGCTTAGGAACCAATTTTGACATTTGCTTCTTATTGACACAGATCTTAAAATCCCAGATGCCAGATGGGTGAAAGCTGCATGGCCAAACGCCACAGCAGCCTGTTTGAGCCATTTCTGAACATGCATCTTCAGCATGTAGCAGCCCTGTTTCCTCTTTCACCCTCTTTCTGAAGTGCTCTGGGAGGAGGCAGCTTCCTATGACCCCATGTCTGATTTTGAAGTACGTACTCTGGTATGGCGGGGATACAAAAACAGCTCTGGTTCAGTCACGGGACTTCCATGATGCCAAGCGATGATGGCTTGCCCACACTGAAGGCACCATCAGAGATCAAATCTCCGCAGGTGGGACACAGACACCTCTCACTTTTGCAAACACAGAATTAGTTCACGCTGCCAGTTTGCACATTCACTTGCAAGCCCTGAAGTGTAGAGAAAGCAAGTGATGATGTGTGTAAACCAACCCTAGGATGTGGGTCCTGTGTTGGATTTGGGGACACAGCTACCACCTGCCCTTACACACCCCATTTGTTGCCTAAAGTACACAGGGACATCGGAAGTTGCCTTATACAGTGGTACCTCAGGTTACAGACGCTTCAGGTTACAGACTCCGCTAATCCAGAAATAGTACCTCGGGTTAAGAACTTTGCTTCAGGATGAGAACAGAAATTGTGCTCCGGCGGCGTGACAGCAGCGGGAGGCCCCATTAGCTAAAGTGGTACCTAAGGTTAAGAACAGTTTCAGGTTAAGAACGGACCTGCAGAACGAATTAAGTTCTTAACCCGAGGTACCAGTGTACTGAGTCAGACCATTGATCCATCTTGTGAGGGGCTGAGGAAGCAGCAGCAGCAGACATTTTGTTCACAGGCTTATTTTAAAATGTTTTCCCACCAAGAGTTCATTAGGCATGGCCTTTCTCCCCTGGCAGGGAAATCTTCTAGCCAGCGTTCCAGAAGATCTGGGAATGCTGAGTAAACAGGAAATGAGACTGCAAATCTAGGCTGCTTTAGCTCCTTCTGAAATGGCCCTAAGGGCTCAGCCATCCAATCACACACACACACACACACACACACACACACACACCACACAGCAGTTGCTTTCGGTTGACCATTGGTCAGCTTTGTGGCCCTTTGTGGAGAGGCTATGCAAGACCTGAGTGCAGTTTTCACAAGTGTAGCTACTGTGAATGATGCAGCTGTGCTGGGGCGGCTCCAGTGTGCGAGGCTTTGCCTGAGTCAGTTGTGGCAGGTGCAGGATGGAAGGAGGAGCCCAACCCTCTCCCTGTCAAGAGTCCCTTCGTCTTTGCGCTAGTGCATTATTGTAGTTAGGTGCCAGCTGGGGTTCTTGGATCAGAGGAGCTAGTGGCAGGGACTCCCAGCTTCCTGGTGTCGCTGTAGGAGCTTGCAGAAGGAGAAAGCGCCTGGGCAGCTATCACTGCTGATGGCCAGAGTGTCACATTGCAACTGCCAGTTTGGTTGAGGTCAGATGGAACAAGGGGATAATTGGAGTCGTGGTTCCAGGCAGCTGCAGATTCTAGCATGACCCCTAAGACTGAGCAATGACCTAGGCAGAGGCAGAGGTTTGCTCTTCTGTGCCTTTTAATGCATATGTGCTTGGCTTCTTACCTACCTGCTTCCTGGGTTTCTCCAGGCTATTGGCTCTGACAGTTGCAGCCACAAGATTCAAGGATTATTCTGGGAAAAGGAGCACTGAGGGAAAACTCGTATGGGCTGAGCAGACTTAGGCCATACATCTAAAGCATGAGGCTTCCTGCAAAGAATCCTGGGAACTGTAGTTTGTTCAGGGTGCTGGGAATTGTAACTTTGTGAGGATCTACAAGTAAACAAATGAAGCAACGATGTTCCCTGCATGTTGATGCTGAGGCTGTCAAATGATTAAATATATTTAATCTTCATGGATGAATTGAACTGTTGGCTGATTAATATACATTGCTGCATATTGCAAGACCTCAATGAAGATGCCTTTGGAAAGCCATTTCATATTTTAGGGTGGCAACAAACCAGGCTGCATTTGACAGAGTGCAGCCAGTCTTGGCTCTATGGTGAGAGTAGGCGCAATGGCCCATTGGTTAGAACTCAACACCACACAAGTGTTCCATCAGCGCAAACATTGCAGTTGCTAGATGGAACAGTCCTCCTCCTCCCTTGGGGAGTGCAAGGGGAGAGGAGAGAAGGGAAGGCCCATTTGTGAGCTGGAGTCCCTGTGCAGATCTATCACTGATGGGCTGCATTAGGTGAATCCCACTCATTGTATGTTAGATTTATGATTTTCATCTTTTAAGTGTATGCTTATAAGCCATAATATGTGAAGTGGGAAGTATTCCCTTGGAGAACCTGCAAGAAGCAGTGTCTCTTGGGCTGAAAATGCTGACATTTCATAACTTTCATTGGCTGGGTTTGGATGCAGACCAGAAGGGAAATCCTTCTTTACATTTCTTTTTCAACTGATCTGGGACAGGAAGGCTGGCGCTGGCACAACTGTGTGGCGAGAGCTGCTGGTCCTGGGATTTTTGCTTCTTGTCAGGTTTACCAGTTAATTGAGAGGGTGTGTGCGTGTTTTAAGATTTTTAATCTGTGATTAATCGATTAATTGTAATCCTGAACATGCTTATCGGAACTCGGCGACACTTAAAAAAAAAACATGCATAGGATAAGGCTACCTGGTTGGAGTCCTATGCACACCTGCAGACAGCCTGGTGAATTCAGCATTCATTCTGATTTGCTTGCACAAAGCTTATATGGTGGTTAGACTATGGGCCTGTCCATACCTGGGTTTAATGTGGTTTGGGAATGCCTTGTATTAATTTTCCCTCATTCATGTAGACCACATAACACCGGTCTTGAAAGACCTACATTGGCTCCCAGTACGTTTCTGAGCACAATTCAAAGTATTGGTGCTGACCTTTAAAGCCCTAAATGGCCTCGGTCCAGTATACCTGAAGGAGCATCTCCATCCCCATCATTCAGCCCAGACACTGAGGTCCAGCTCCGAGGGCCTTCTGGCGGTTCCCTCACTGCGAGAAGCCAAGTTACAGGGAACCAGGCAGAGGGCCTCCTCGGTAGTGGCACCCGCCCTGTGGAATGCCCTCCCACCAGATGTCAAACAGAACAACAGCTACCAGACTTTTAGAAGATATCTGAAGGCAGCCCTGTTTAGGGAAGCTTTTAATGTTTGATGTATTATGTTATTTTAATATTTTGTTGGAAGCCGTCCAGAGTGGCTGGGGAAGCCCAGTCAGATGGGCGGGGTATAAATAATAATAATAATAATAATAATAATAATAATAATAATAATAATAATTATTATTATTATTATTATTATTATTATTATTATTATTTATTATGTTCTCATCCAGATATTGCTGTCCTTCATTTTCTACTCCCTAAGTCCAGAGATTCCCTATGCTTTGAAAAATCTGACTAAGAAAGCTACATCAATTGCATAGGGACACTCCAGATTTGGGGAGGAAAAAGTAGTTGGAGGAAAATGTTACATGGAGATAAAGGAGACACAGGTGGTTTACAATCCACATGAAACCTAGCTATGGATGGACCCTTAGTCCAGTATTTATTGAGCATTCATCCTGATTGGCTTTCAGGGTGTTTACACATATTCCCATTAATTATTCATCCCACACTTTTCAGTGCATTTTCCAGTCACCTTCCAAACCACAAAGGAGCCCTCCAGGTTACAGTACCTACCGTATTTATTGTTTGCTTGCCCTGGTTTGCTTGCAAAAGGCTTACACAGAGATTGGATTACTGTATAT